GAAAAAAAAAAAAAAAAAAAAAAAAAAAAAAAAAAAAAAAAAAAAAAGAAGATGAAATAGAACCATTATTTGTATCAAACTTCCAATTTCACGAGCTTCCACTTTTTTTTATTTTTTGTTTTTCCTTAGCAGATCCCATTTCCCGCGCAAACCCAATCTGAGTTGGCCGAGAAAACCATAAACCGTTGACTCTTTCGTTTGGTTTGGTGATGGGTAAGACGCAGCGCTTGGATTTTGCTTCCTCCGGCAGTAACAGAGTCCCTCTTCTGAACAACAAGGAGGTTTGATTGTTTTTCCTTTTCTGTTTTGGAATTTTTGGTGTTGCCCATTATTAATCTTAAATCATGTTTTTTATCTTTCGACAAACTGATTCTTGTTATTTTTGTCTAGGCTAATAATGGTGATGGCCCCGTCACGGACCTTGAGCATGGTGATGCCGTACAGGTGATATCTAATCAATGTTTGATGTTTGATGTTTGATGTTTAATGTTTTGGAGAGGTGTAGTAATTTTATTTATTTTTCTTGGAAAATTCAGGCTGCGAATGTTGGATATTGTCGAATATTGTCACTTGTAAGTAGACGGTTATCATACAAATATTTTTTTCCCCCTTCTTGAGAATAAGATTATGTTTTGATTTGTTTTAAATTTTCCTACTTTTTCAGGCTAAACCTGATGCTGGCAAGATAGTTATTGCCACTATTGCACTGCTGATTGCATCCACAACAAGTATTCTGATAGTATGTTGCTTGGTCTATTGATGATCATCTTTCTCATTCCTTTTTTATCTTTTTTAATTACCCTTATGTTGATCGGAATTTGACCTTTGTTGCTCTTGTATTTTTCCATTTGGATCCAATCACTGGACTCACCTCAACCTTCTGCTTTCCTCTTAGCCTTCCCTCTATTAACATCCGAATTTCGCTGTTCTTCTCCTGCAGCCAAAATTTGGGGGAACGATAATTGACATTGTATCAAGAGAAATAAGAACTCCCGAACAGCAAGCTGAAGCTTGGGAGGCTGTCAAAAACACCATATTGGAAATACTTCTAATTGTTGTTGTTGGGTATGATTTGTTCCATTTTATTTCTTTGAGTTTGGCATGCATTTTTCCAATGTAGTTGCTGTCTTTATGCCATCGTTTGCAATTCTTTTTTTCTTGTTTTTATGTTTGTTGTTTAATCATTAAGCTCATCTAGTGTATTTTCTGCTTTGTACTTTATCTGAAGCTCTTTGTGCACAGCACTCCGAGCGTGGTTGTTTTCTTCTGCTAGTGAAAGAGTCGTTGCTCGTTTGAGAAAAAACTTATTTGCTCACCTTATTCATCAGGTAAGACCCATTAAGTCACAAATTTAAATTCCTAATCCACTAAACTGATTTAGCCTTCTGGTCTTCCTTGTGATATTCAATTCAATAAGAATCTGTATAAATTTGGCATGGTTGATACCAAAATGTTTGAAATAGGAAATAGCCTTCTATGATGTTACTCGGACAGGGGAGCTTCTAAGCAGGCTATCTGAAGACACACAGATAATAAAAAATGCTGCAACTACCAATCTTTCTGAGGCACTGAGAAACGTAACAACTGCGTTTATTGGTATTGGATTTATGTTCTCATCATCTTGGAAGTTAACATGTAAGTTCATTTCATTTTGAGCTAAATTCTTGTGAAGTTGCTTCTGCTGAGGAGAATAGTGCTCATTGCAGTTATTTTCCCTGCTTCCCCTAGTGTTGGCTTTGGTGGTTGTACCTGTTATTTCGGTTGCTGTAAAGAAGTTCGGGCGCTATCTCCGAGAACTTTCACACGCAACTCAAGCCGCAGCTGCAGTAGCTGCCTCAATTGCTGAGGTTTGTAGGCAACAAATGGACTTGTAGTTCTGCGGGTTTCTTCATAAATTTGGGTCTTGAATATCCTAAATCGTGCTTTCAAAATACCATATTTGGTGTTTTTTTGACATAGGATGTCCCTTGAGGCTTGATGATATAATTATGAGTAGAAAATTATGCTAAATTGATTATATGAGGATTTCAGTGGTTTATGTTTTCTGAAAAACACTACTGATGTTTAGGAATCTTTTGGAGCTATCCGAACTGTTCGGTCCTTTGCTCAAGAAGGCCACACGATTTCAAATTACTCAGAAAAAGTTGACGAGACACTGAAGCTTGGACTAAGACAAGCTGTGAGTTTTCTTACCAATCTCTTTCTTGAACTCTGAAGATTCCCTGTGCACAAGTAGTGTGGTATCTGAGCTTCGTTTTCTCTTTTTTATCTGCCTCAGAGAGTAGTAGGTCTATTTTTCGGAGGGCTAAACGCAGCGTCCATGTTATCTGTTATCGTCGTAGTTATTTATGGAGCATACTTGACGATTACAGGCTCCTTGACTGCAGGAGCTCTTACCTCTTTCATTCTTTATAGCCTTACAGGTACTTGTCTAATTGTTCACATCCTCCCACCTGTACTTATTTTGCAGAAAATATAAACATTTTGGATTTCACTCTCTACCTTAGTTTAGTTCTTTTTGAAGAATGAAAAGATCATTCAAAGATTTTGCATTATGCTATAGTAACAAATTAGTCTCGGTAAATCTCTACGTCAACAGTTGGATCCTCAATATCTTCTTTATCGGGGTTGTACACAACTGCGATGAAAGCTGCAGGAGCAAGTAGGAGAGTTTTTCAGCTTCTCGATCGTGTCTCAGCCATGCCACAAGCAGGCAATAAGTGCCCCGCAGGGTCAGTTCCACTATATCTTCTGACCTCTTTTCTTTCCCCCTTCCTTATTACATGCTATGGTCTTGATTTTCAAAGTTGCACAAAATTTCAGCCTCTAATCATCTAAATCTACACTTAGAGGCTAGCATATTCCTTATCCACTAAACGTCAGAAACGAGTGCAGAGAAAAGATAATAGAACATAGTTTGCAATTTAAGCATTCCCATCATTTAAGATTTCAGTTCGGGTCTTATTAGCAATGTTTGTGGCTTTAATGGCAGATACCCAGATGGAGATGTGGAATTAGATGATGTCTGGTTTGCTTATCCTTCTCGCCCGAGTCATATGGTTCTCAAGGTAATAATTTTCTTGGATAAATGTAAATGCGCTTTAATATCAGAGTCCCAAGATACTGTATTGGTGAATTAAACCACAAGAAAACTGGCGCAGATGTAGAGTGGATAAGACAACCAACCCGGTTTGTATCTCACCAAGTTGGACAAAACAATACATATTTTGGAATCTCGTAACTGTGTGTTGATGTTGTTATCCTCTTGTTATATTCTTTCCTTGGCTCAAATGTATCAATGTCTAACACATCTGGTAAAGTGCAGGGTATAACATTGAAACTGAGCCCTGGTTCAAAGGTTGCTCTTGTTGGTCCCAGCGGTGGCGGAAAAGTAATAGCATGCCATCTATTCACTTCTGAATTCTTGTTGCTCCAATATCATGTTCTATTGAGCAACAAAATTGAATTTGATTGAGTATTGATATCTTGTTCTTTGTTAATTGCAGACAACAATTGCAAATTTGATTGAGAGGTTCTATGACCCTCTTAAGGGAAAGATTTTACTGAATGGAGTTCCATTAGTGGAGATATCCCATGAATATCTTCATAGAAAGGTGATTTAGGATTTGATGTTTCTTCACATCAAGTTTTAGTATCTACCTTGGCCTTTGATTCAGCATACTGATTTTCAAAGTCTTATGAGTTTCCATGATTTTGAAACTACAGGTTAGTATAGTGAGCCAGGAACCCGTTCTTTTCAATTGTACGGTGGAAGAGAACATCGCATATGGTTTTAACGGAAAAGCTAGCTTGTCTGACATAGAAAATGTAGCTGTGAGTTTATTTTTTTTGTTTTCTTTTTTCTTTCTAACAAGTCCTCCAAATGAAGTTATTTTCATCTGGTTTGCTTGCTGATGAAGATGAGTGATACTGCAGAAAATGGCTAACGCACATGAATTCATTGACATCTTTCCTGACAAATATCAAACTGTGGTCGGTGAACGCGGACTAAGGTTGTCAGGAGGCCAAAAACAGAGAATAGCAATTGCAAGAGCGCTATTAATGGACCCAAAAGTTTTGTTACTTGATGAAGCCACAAGTGCTCTTGATGCCGAGAGTGAATTCCTCGTTCAGGTAAAATTGGAATTTTCACATAAAATTCTCGACCAAAAACAGTATAAAGCACTATAGACAGCTCTCAACTTCTGCCTTAAAGTTCTAGTTTGAGACATGTCTCAGCGCTGAGCTATGCACCTAGTTCTGTTTTCTCTCCTAAACATATTTATAGCCATTATACTTGACAAATGTTCATGCAATGTACAGGATGCCATGGATTCTCTGATGAGGGGCAGGACTGTTCTTGTAATAGCACACAGGCTTTCAACCGTAAAAAGTGCAGACAGTGTCGCCGTCATATCAGACGGTCAGATTGCTGAAAGCGGCACCCATGACGAGCTTCTGAACAGAAATGGAATTTACAATGCACTTGTTAGGAGGCAGTTACAGGGATCTACAACTGCCTAGTTCGGAAAAACCTTGGTTATGAAAAAACATTTATGACCAAATTGATAACAAAAGTTTCCGTTCAGTTTGAATCCTTGAAGAAGTACATTGGTTTTCAAAATAAAAGACGATCTTGATTGCTAACCTTAAACCTGCCACAAATCTTCTGTCAGACCCGTATTGAAAAACGTTTACACTAGGAGGGGTAAGAGTGACAAAAAGACTAGAGTTGGGGGTCGAAAATCCCTTGGTTGTCTCTGTACTGTTCCCACCGTCGGTGGCTAGGAGTTCCGGAGTACTCGAAATCTCCGGGTCTATCGTGTTAGATTGTCCTCTGTAATTGTTGTTGGCTGTTTGAATTTCAATAAAAGCTACCCTGATTCCTTTCATTCTTCACGCTGTGCCTCTGTGTGTGTTTGGCTGTGAAATAACCAGGTTCCTTACATCTTCATTATTAGAGGCAACAAAATGAGTTACAACATGCTAGAACAATTAGGGCTTGTTTGGTTTAAGAACTCCAACGTTATAATTTTCAAAAAAAAAAAATCTTACCTTTGAAAAAAATATAATAAAAATGTAAAAAGAGAGAAAAAGAATCGTACATTTAAAAAGAAAAACTGATCCCTAAATTATCCAAAAAAAAAAAGAAATGATCCCTAAAACAAATAAACGTCTTTTTCTTCTCTGTCAGTACTTTCTTCTCTCTCAATATTATTTCTTTTTTGTTTTTATTTTTTGTACGTTTTGTTATCTTTTCATGTTCTATAAATTGGAGAAAGCCCAACTTCGTTGCCCACGTTGGTGAAGTGTAGAAGCTTGTTTATTTTTTCAGTGGGAAACTTGTCTGTTGACTTTGATGTAGTTTAATTTTTGGTTGTTACTTTTTCCCGTTAATATACTGGGTTTGCCTTGCTATTGAATGATATAAGAGATTGTTCTTTTTTTCCCCCTCATTCTAAGGCATAACGTTTCATAATATTTTTTTCTCTCCAAAAAGCGCTTAAGGCCCCAAAATTTATTTAGACAGCCCCCCTGTTGATAGCATCCATGTTGGAAATGTCAATATTGTGCTCTTGGGAGAATAAAGAGGCTTCATTAAGAAGAGAATCCTATCCACTCTCGTTTGTAAACTTCGACTAAACTAGGGTGTGTTTAGTTATAGTGGGAGAATGATAATGGGAATAAAAATGAGAATGGTAATGAGAATGCAGTGAAAAAGAAAGTTAATTCATTTATTTGATTGTAATTTTAAGAATTTTCTGGAATGAAACATGAATATTTTTATGTTAACAAACTTACCCTTATGTTATATATAACACTAATATTTTATCTATCAATATAATATATAAAATGTAATATAATATAATATAATATAATTATTATTATATAATTATGATATATAATATAATAATAGGTAAAGTCTTCAATTTGGTACCGGATTGGAGCGGCACATGTATATTTCTTTTAAAAACGTGTATATTTTCTCTTAAAACACGTATATATGTGTTTAAATAAATTATAGGTGTCTCCTCACATTATATATGTTTTAAAAGAAAATATATATGTTTTTAAGAGGAAATATATATATTTTTAAAAGAAATATACATGTGTCGTTCTAATTCGGTGCCGGATTGGAGACAATTCTTATAATAATATTATTAAAATTGTTAATATAATTATAATATTATATAAGATTATATAATAAATAATAATATTTTAGTTATAATATAATTAAAAATTACAATTATATTATAATTATAATATAATATTATAGGAATTGTCAAACCCAGCACCAGGTTGGAGCGGCACATGTATATTTACTTTAAAAACATGTATATTTCCTCTTAAAAATATGTATATTTCCTTTTAAACCATGTATAATATGAGAAGACACATATAATTTATCTAAACACTTATATACATGTTTTAAGAGAAAATATACATGTTTTAAGAGGAAATAAACATATCTTTAAAAGAAATATACACGTGCCGCTCTAATCCGATACTGGATTGGAGACTTTACCTAATGTAATATATAATTATTATATTTAATATAATACAATTTAACTATTGTAATGACTGAGAAAATTTCAGACCTTAAATAATACAATTCATGTATTTTTAAGCCAAGGATTTTCTTAGAAAATATTATGTTATATTGTGAATGGAGGATTTATGGAATTAATATATGTATTCCTAAATTCTATAGCAAATTTCATGTTAAGTTCATGTTTCAATCAAGTAAATTCGATCGATAAATTCTCGCAGTATTTTAAGGCGGAATAATTTTCAGTACAAGTATAGTTTGAGAATCTTAATTTCAAGAATCTCCAAGCACAGCACGATGTTATTATATTATATATCATAATTATATAATAATAATTTTATTATATTATATTACATTTTATATATTATATTGATAGATAAAATATTAATGTTATATATAGTATAAGGGTAAGTTTGTCAACATGAAAATATTCATGTTCCATTCTAAAAAATTCTTAAAATTACAACTAAATAAATTAATTAACTTTCTTTTCCATTCCATTCCCATTATCATTATCATTCTCATTCTCATTACTATTCTTATTCTCATTCTCATTCTCATTACCATTCTCCCATTGTAACCAAACGCATTACAATATCTTGATTTTTTTCTTTGCAATGCCTTTGACATCTCATTTGTAACTCCTAAAACATTTCTCATCAAATGAAGACAGCACAAAATCAAATGGGTGGATCGAGCAAAGCAATGAATGAGAAGGCACATGAGTTTTCCTTCAAAATTAGAGTTTTGAGACCAGTTGTCACGTTCCGAAGGATTAAAAATGTGATTAATTAAGGGCGTGTTCGTTTCATGGGTTTGGTTCGAACCAGCCCAATTTGAGTCAGCCCAATAACTCAAATCAGTGTTTATTACACCAACGCATCAACTCTAACTCGAATTGTGATCCGAGTTGAGAGGGCAGATTGGAATTCAATGGAGGCTTTAATTCCATTAACTCAAACCTGTCTCTACAGTGATTTGTGCTCTGCCCAACTCGGCCAAAAGCCTGTGGATTCCCTCGTGCCTTACCGTTGGTGTGTTTTTTCCTCTCCTCTTCCCAACGAAAGCTCTGTCGTTTCCCATCATCCACAGAGATGGAAAATTGCAGATCTCTCTTGCGTGATTCCACCCCCATGACTTCGAACCTGCCTCTACTGTAAAATTTGCTCTGCACAACTCATCAGGCAAACGCCTGTGGGATTCCCTCGCGCCTTACCGTTGTGTTTTCTATCCTCTTTCCACCTAAAGCTCTCTCTGTCGTTTCCCATCATCCACATCGATGGAAAATTACAGATAAAGCTCTCGAGCCTTGCGTGGTGAACTTTGACCCATTTTCGTTTATGCATGTGGGTAGAACCTTCTCAACCCTCTTCTTCACTTCCCCCAAAACGGAGGAACTATGTGGAAAAATCCGCGATCGGAAACCTCCGTTGGCGGCTGTTTTGAGCAGATGTGTCCGTAACTGGCGACCTCGAACCCTAAATCGCCGTCATCGGTGGAGAATTTCAAGGTACCCCTGTCGGCGACAAAGAAATTAGGGTATTCCGAGCTCATCTAGATTGGGGTTCTTGGTGGATGCACACACACGTTCATCCATTGGGTCCAATTCGGTAAGTTCTCTCACCTTCTCCTTTCAATATTTTCTCTGTTCGTGGATGTGAGAATCAGCCTTGTACAGTTCTGTTTTCTATATTCTTTCTGGATATCACAAGAGCTCATAAATGATTTTCACAGTTCTAGTTTCCACATGCAATTTTTTTGCCGTTCTGAATGCTTTTGATTGCTTACCACATGTTTGAGAAAATACCTCAAAGGAACAATGGACTGAATTGCTTGTTTATTTCAGATTTCATGTTTGCTCAATGCATTGCTATAGGCTGCTAGTATTCGGCATGTGGACTGAATCTATATATATATATATATATATATCATTGACAATGGTGTCTTTTTCACGATACCATTATTGGAGGTTTACACGTATATTATTGCCTTGACCTTGATTGATAATTCAGTAACATTCAAGCATAGCTCATGCCATTAATTAAAATGATTTTCACAGTTCTAGTTTCCACATGCAATTTTTTTGCCGTTCTGAATGCTTTTGATTGCTTACCACATGTTTGAGAAAATACCTCAAAGGAACAATGGACTGAATTGCTTGTTTATTTCAGATTTCATGTTTGCTCAATGCATTGCTATAGGCTGCTAGTATTCGGCATGTGGACTGAATCTATATATATATATATATATATATGACGATGGTGTCTTTTTCACGATACCATTGATAATGGGTCCTATAAGTGGGGTTTATTCTTGATGTCTCTCATATAGCCAAATATTAGAGAACTAGAGTGCATAAAATATGGAACCAAAACCCACAAATCTGTTTACAAATCTACTATGTGATAAGATTTAATTTGTATATTAGCCCAATTGAGCTTAAAGCATAAATGATACATAAACCACCTTTTGGAAATATAGTGGAGGTTTACACGTATATTATTGCCTTGTCCTTGATTGATAATTCAGTAACATTCAAGCATAGCTCATGCCATTAATTACTTGACGAAAAAAAGACATAATAGTACTAGTGGGCCACTTTTTTTTTATATTGAAATACTAATGTATCCATATAAAGTCAAATTGAAGCTTAAGTCAACCAAGACAAGGACAAGATTAGGGCACATCAAACCTACACCATTCAACTTAAAAACATGATCTTATGTATATCAACCCCCAACATATCAAGAAGATGAAAAAGAAGGCTAAAAAGCCAGTGAATGTTGCCAATTATCCTATCATTCTCTGCATGTCCATCTGCAAAAGCATGCAGTTTGACATGCTCTGTAAATTGACACTATCCGTGGATACAAATAAAGCCAGTTAAGTCTATATACTTCAACAACCCACTTGAAAATCAAGTCATATACCACATGATTACTTTTACAATTGGACATTTAAATTGTCTGATTTAGGCATAGGAATGAAACTAAGACTGAAATGTTATGGGAGTTTTTAATTAATAGTACGTGTACTTGAGATGGGAGATGCATAGGAACCAAATTTAACTTGTTTAGGTAATTACAACTTAAAAGCTTGCCGTAGCTAGCTAAGTAGCTAGTTGAAGATGTAGCTAGCATCTTGCATAATGCAAAGACATCAAGTGGTTTGAAAAGGAGAGTCTAGGGAAGTCACATTGATGTTCATCATCAAAATTAATAGTGGTTGCAGCAGCAGCAGCTGAATTCACATAATCTACCAATCTAGGCAGCCACACACCATCCCTGATTTGCCATAATGTCATTGCTAGCTATTGTATGTCATACTAATCTGATTTGAGTA